AAGTGGGATAAACACTTATTGATTCTGAGGAAATTCTTTGTTGGAGACAGAGTCATCACAGAACCATTTTTAAATTACGTGCAGAAGGCAAAAAATATTTAATTCGGACGAAACCTGGGTGAATGAAGGTTATACAGCTAGCAAAATGTGGCAAGACACAAACATTCAATCTTTACGATAGGCTTTTTCGGAAGGATTATCTACAGGATTGATGGTTCCTTCCGATAAAGGACTACGTCTAATTATAACTCATATTGGAAGTGGAAGGGTTCAGGTATAGTAATGAATAACGCTAGTTACCTACTATCCTCGTCTAATTGGACGTGTACCAAATACTTCACGGAAGAAAGATGATATCATTAAGTGGCCAACATACAGAAACATTAACTTTCCAGAAAGATCAATAAAAATAGAACTACTAGAAAGTATACGTTATGTAGAGGATGAAATTGCAAAAACACATGATATTGATGTTGTGCGTCTTCCTCGCTATCACTGCAAACTAAACCTTATGGAACTGATATGGGCACAAGTTAAAGGATATATGTAGGATTGTAGGTCGACATAATACGACATTTAAGTTAAAAATTGTAGTAGAAGCTGTTACAAAAAAAAATATTTGTCAAAGGACTGACTTTTATTTCTTTTTCTATGACATTAAAAAAATTATAATCATAGTAACCAGTATTTTTTATAGTCTAGAGGACAATTTGATTAAAATAAAAATAAAACTATGAAAACTATCTGTAACATTCTCTGGCACAGTGTTAATCTATATTTAAAACACATAAATTTAAAACTCCTCTTCTAAATGTACCATTCGTAGTCTTCACATCGACTACTCTTATCTTCAGATCTTTTCCAGGATAAGTTTTTGTCACAATTCCTTTTCACCAATTGTTTCTTGGTAGGCATTTGTCGACGATAACATTATTATCACCTGGTTTTATTGGCCTCTGTTCTTTAAACCATTTCGATGATCTTACTAAAGTGGGTAAATATTCATGTATCCATCTATTCCAGAACATATCAGTAAGTTTCTGTGCTGCTCTCCACTTTGATAAAAGGCGTAAGTCACATTCATTAGTTTCGCTACAGGGTAACGCCCGATTTTTATCCCCTATTAGGAAATGGTTTGGTGTTAGCGCCTCTGGGTCGTTTGGATCTTGAGCAAAAAGGGGACGACTGTTAATTATATTTTCCGTTTTTGAAATAACTGTTCTAAGCACATCTTCTTTTGGAAACCTGGATTTAAGTAGTTCATACAGCACCTTTTTAATGGATTGTATAAGGCGTTCCCATACCCCTGACATATGTGGAGTTTCTGGTGGCTGAAAAAACCATTTTGTCTTCATTGGTGTTAAACATCTATATAAGTCATTCTGATTCCAACCTTGCAATGCTTCGCTTAGTTCTCTCTCAGCTCCTTTAAAATTTGATCCATTATCTGAGTATAGTTCTTCAGGAAAACCTCGTCTGCATCCAAATTGTCGATATACTTGAATAAAGCTATTCGTTGACATATCTTGTGCTATTTCAAGGTGCACAGCTCTAGTTACCATGCATGTAAAAATGACTCCGTAGCGTTTCTCGTGGGATCTTTTAACTGTAACATAAAGAGGCCCGAAATAGTCAACTCCACATTTTATGAATGACCGAATTGTTCTTTCTAATCTACAGTTCGGAAGTTGGCCCATTCTTGGTACAACAGGACTACTCATCATTAACTTACATTTTTGGCAATTATAAGCAATGTGTTTAACTGCACGTCTAGCTTTCAGAATCCAAAATTTTTGTCTTAGTAAATTTAATACTGTTTTGGTTCCTTGATGTTGCATCTTTTCGTGATAGTCTTGGATTAGTAGTCTTGTTATGACGTGTTTCTGTGGGAGAATAATTGGTTTTCGGGTATATTTACTCAGGTTTGTAGCATTATTAATTCTTCCATTGAATCTCAATAAACCATCTTCATCTAGTTCACACATTAGTTGAAATAGCTGACTAGAAGAAGGAATGGGTTTATTTTGTAGAAGTAATTTGCATTCCATGTAGAATGAATCTAGTTGGGCTCTCTGAAATAGAAGTTTTTCAGCTTCTTCCATATCAGTAATTTGTAGTTCATATGGTTTAGTTGTAGAATATTTCGAGTTCTTGAACTTTTTTTTAAATAAATTTACGAATTTTAACATCCAAGCAGTAGCACGACTCAAACATAAAAATTTTGAAAATCTTGTTGGTGTAGGTATGTCAGGAATCAAGATTTTGTCTCTTTCTATGTTTAATAATACAAATTTTATACGTTTTTCCAAGTCGTTTTTATTTATATCTGAATTCTGTATGTCTTTTTCATCTTCGTGGAGGGGCCAATTATTTTCGGATTGTCGCAGGAACATCGGTCCTTGAATCCATCTGGATGTATTTGAAAAGTTTAATCCTTGTTCCTTTTTTGTACCTTCATATGCTACATTGTCTTTTGATTTAACGTATCTCCAGTCCGATATATTTGTTAATTGCTGAATTTCCCCTAATCTCTGTGCTATGAATACTTTAAATCGTCTAGCTTCGGCTTGGAGCCAGTACAAAACTGTCTTTGAGTCCGTCCAATATACAATTTTACTTATTGGTCATTTTAAATTTTTTTTAATGCTACTTCCCAATTTCGCACCAAGTAAGGCTGCCTGTAATTCTAAACAGGGTATTGAAGTTGGTTTTAATGGTGCAACTCTAACTTTTACGGTAAGGAAGCAAATTTTAACAGTTTCGTCATATTGCCACCGGAGATAACTTACACTTGAGTATGCCAGCTCTGAGGCGTTAAAAATATGCAAATGGATGTTGCTTTCACCTCTGGGCATTTGGCAATACTGTCGAGGGGAATTGAAAATGTGTGAATTTTCTTTAATTCTTCTAACCATGACTGCCACTTTCGGTTTAAGTTGTCTGTAATTGGACTATCCCACTCTAGCTTGTATCGCCAAATTTCTTGCAAAAGGATCTTTCCATGAATGATGAAGTTGCTTAAAAAGCCAAGAGGATCAAACACGGACATTACTATTTTTAAAATTTGTCGTTTAGTGGGTCTTTTTTTGTTATGTAGGATATCAGATGCAATTTTGTCTAAATTTGTCAGGCCAAGTATTCTTTCGGGAATTGTTTCACTACTTAATATTTTTTGATTCATGTCTAGACTTTTTCCCCGATTGTTTTGAACGTTTCGTCGATCGTAAACAAGACTTCTGGTTTATTGCTTATCTAGTTACATATATTAAACCCTGCTTCACTGTGAATGTATATGACTTCTTGGATTAATTTTACGGCTTCTTCTTCTGAATCGGCACCTCCTAAATAGTCGTCCATGTAATGGTCTTCTATAATGGCTTGGGTTGCTTCGGAGTAAGTGTTTTTAAACATCTCTGCATTTTTATTTTTTACATATTGGGCAAGTGTAGGTCCACATGTAGATCCAAAGAAAACTACTTGTATTTCATAAATGTCTGGCTGTTTTTCTCTATCTGTACCTCTAAAAAGAAATCTTTGGGCTGATCTGTCTTCTGACCTAACCAAGACTTGAAGAAACATTTCTTTAATATCAGCTACGAATACTACTGTCTTGATTCTAAAATTCATGAGTATCGTATGTAAGTTATTGTACAGATCTGAACCAGTAAGAAGAAAACTATTGAGGCAGTAACCCTTTGATTTTGAGGCAGCATCAAAGACAATTCTCATTTTTTTCTTGTTAGGATTTATAACACCGAAATGTGGTAAATACCAGATTCTGTTCTCAGGGATTAATTCAGATTTGTTTCTTGATAATAATTTTATATACCCTTTGTCCTGTAAATCTTTCATTTTTCGCAGTATGTTTTGCCGAATTCTGGATTCTTGTCCATTTTATTTTCTAATGAATTTAGTCTCTGCAGTGCTACTGTCTTATTCTTTGACAAATATTTTTTTCCTCATTTTTTTTTAATATATTCTGGGCACTACTAACCAAAACTTAAATATCAGTTCCATCTAATCCCAAACAGAAGCATTGTTAGAAACCTCCATATCACTAGTTATGAAGGAAAATTGACAAAAGGTAATCGAGCATACGTTTAAACAAAAAGAAAACATGGAATCTGGATAAATCTTGGATGTCGATATTACAGTGTCACCTTTAATAATATCAGTAAAGAAATGACTCATCAAGGGAACATAGTGATTCAGAGACTTTTACGTTTCCTGATCTTCGAGAGTAGGTAAGCATATCTATGTTATATCTAAATGTTATAACCATAGCACCCCGGCGGTTAAATTACAATTATTTAAGTTTAAAATAGTAACAAAAAAAATAATATTACAAACAAATACCCCTAATTTACCCAACCGTGCGCTAATCAGAGCCTTAAAAGGGATTAAAATAAGGGTAGCTTATTATTTATGTCCCACAAAATCGGGTGGCACAGGTAAAATTCTTAATGAAACAAAACCTTTTAACTGCCAGTTCTTTAAATTCACAGATTTTATTTGAGCCACCTGTGCTGTAACAGTAAATTTTGATTTATTACTCCGTGTTGATTGCGATTCTACTATACATATTTTTAAAATATATTTTAATAAATACCTATTAAAATTTGGAAATCTGAAAAATGAACACCCCAAGGAATCAATTCTTTTTCAAACTTGAAACTTGTGGTAGCCATGTATCACAAAGATTTATATTTAAACGGCGACCGGTTTTGAAGTCTGATTACTTCATCATCAGGTACATCTAGTAGGTAAGAGAAAAGGAGAATTGGTCAGTTTTAAATTATTAGCAAGAATATTGATTTAAATTAAGTGAAATTCTTTTTCTTTGGGTTGTCTTCACCTTGAGGTTGTGGGAATTGATTCCTTGGTTTTGTATAGGAATTGGGGTGATCATTTTTTAGATTTTCAAATAGTTATACATTTATTTACAGATCCTAACCGATATTTCTTCGCTTAAATAACAATTATTATCTAATATATTTTAGGCAATCCAATCTTGGAAAACAACAGTTTCGACTTCATAATCGTTGGATCTGGACCTTCGGGCTGCGTTCTAGCTAACAGACTGACGGAAATACCCGAATGGAATGTAATGCTATTAGAAGTTGGCGACGAGGCTAACGCTTTGACTGACATCCCTTATATGGCGGAATTTTTCCAGTTCACCGATTACAGCTGGGGCTATACAGCTGAACAACAGAATACTTCTTGCGGGGGTAATAAAAAATATATACAGGGTGTCTGTAAAAGGTCATTACAAAAACATCAACATATTCCTTAGACCAAAATAAGTCGATTTAAGTAAAATTACCTTAGTACAAAGTTGCTTCGTTTGGGCTCCAGAGGGCCTTGAAGTTACAATTTTTAAATCGTTTTTCCCATATAAATTTAAAACGGCATATGCGATTTTGCTGAAATTTGGTATATTGGTAGAGTTTTATGTGGCAAAAAAAATGGTATTAAAATTATGTCCGATAATAATACATAGGTGTAGAACTTCATTTTTTAAATAATTGCACCTTTAAAAATTCTACGCCAATGGAAGAAAAGGAGTTTGAATATGAAATTTAAATTGCGCAACCCATTTACTTTAAAAAAGGTACTCTTGATAAGACCTGATTACTCTCATGGTTTTCGCTAAATTTGTATTTTAATAATTTAGAGTGTATAATAATAATAATAATAATAATATAATTTATTCTCAAAAATAGAAGTACATGTTAATATAGTAAATTAGAATAAATTATTATGCTCGATAAGCGATTTAACACTTGTTTCGAAAATAATTTAGAATAAAAAATACATACAATATACAATATAGTAAATCTAAATACAAATATATACTAGACAATAATTAAAATTAAATGACTATATTTTTAAATAACATAATATGCATAAAAATACATTGTGAATAAACTTCACTAAGAGACAAATTTAAAGATAAATTAAAAAATAAATGTTTTTACAGTTTCTGAAACAGTGGAAAGATAGACCGAAGACAGATATATCTGCTTAACTACAGAATCTCGATTACATAATGAATTAAATCACGGTGTTGTTCAACGTAGAGAGTCAGATTTTTTTTAAAATGTTTTAGATAGACTATTGATTTTAAATCAGGTGGTAATGAATTGTACATTTTAGGTCCGATATATGAGTAAGCTCGTTGTCCAACTGACTTATGCATATGGGGAATTAACTCTGAATTTTTATTTCGTGTATTATAGGTTTCACAAAAATATTTATTTACAACATAATCAAAATAGAGATTTTACAAAAATTGTTCAAAATGTTTACCATTTTCACGCATACAAAGATTTATACGTCGAAGAAAATTAAAATCTATCCTTTCCATAACTTCTTCATCACCTCTAAGATTGTTTATTGCATCTTGAATACGTTGCCAGAGTTGTTCCTCATTTTCTACAGGTTCCCTGTAAACTGTGGATTTCAGATGTCCCCATAAAAAGTAATCCATCGGTGTTAGGTCTGGGGAACGTGGTGACCAGTTTACAGGTGCGTCATTACCTCTGCCTATCCATTTGTGTGGATATTGTTCATTCAAGTGGTTTCTAACGTTTAAAGAAAAATGTGGTGGAGCTCCATCTTGCATAAACCACATATCTCTCCGAAGTTGGAGAGGTAAATCTTCTAATAATTCTGGCAACGTATTTTGTAGAAAATCCAAATAATTTTCTCCAGTTAATCTTCGTGGAAGTATGACAGGACCAACAATGAAATTACCAATTATTTCAGCCCACACATTAATTTTGAATTCGTGCTGAAAATGGTTTACCTTTATTGCATGCGGATTTTCAACGGCATAAACATGTTTATTATGGGTATTAGTTATACCTCTTCTTGTAAAACCCGCTTCATCGGTAAAGAGAACCTTCTTGACAAAGTTTGGATCTCTTTCTCTTTGCATATTAACAAATCGACAAAAACCCAAACGAATTTAAGGATCATGGACTAATAATTCTTGTACTGGCTTCTTATGGTATGGATATAGCAATTATTCTCTAAGCACTTTATGAACGACATCTTTACTTACTCCTAGTTCCCTTCCAATTCGTCTGGTGCTTAATTCTGGATCTTCTTCAACACGTTCTAAAATGTCTTCTTCAACTTCAGGAATCCTTACAAAACGTTCTCTTCCATTATCAACAGTGTTGGAAGCAAAGGAACCGGTCTCCCGAAGACGTCTCTTAACAGCAGCAAAAGTTGGGTGGCTAGGTACACGGTACACCCTGACACTCTCTCGAGCATTTCCTTCACAAAATCCTAATGTCAGTAACATATCGGTATATTCTGCATTGGTATATTGTACAGCCATATTAATAAACCACGCATTTGTTTTTTTAATTATTGAGTCAGATAGAACACTTTCAATCGTTAACAAGAGATTAGGTGTTAAAACTTGACAATATTTTTATTTAGATGAAACTATGGAAACCAACAATAAATGTTTTTGTATACGTATTGCAGGCAAATAATTAATATTCCTCAAAAAATCGTACATGGCAAGAATCGAGTATTTTTGTTAAAAGTCTCGATTAGAGGTGTTGAAGAAGATATGAAAAAAGTACATTTTTATGTTTTTCATCGTATAAAATTTTGTCCGATAATAATACATAGGCGTAGAACTTGATTTTTTAAATAATTGCACCGTTAAAAATTCTACGCCAATGGCAAAAAAAGTGGTTTGAGTATGAAATTTGGATTGGGTACTCATTTACTACAAAAAAGTACCCTTGATAACACTCGATTTACTCTCATGGTTTTGACAAAGTTTGTATTTTAATAATTATTGTTTATGTTCTAAAATTACTACAATGCAAATTTCGTCAAAACCATAAGAGTGATCGAGTCTTATCAAGAGTACCTTTTTTAAAGTAAATGAGTTGCGCAATCTAAATTTCATACTCAAACTCCTTTTCTTCCATTGGCGTAGAATTTTTAAAGGTGCAATTATTTAAAAAATCAAGTTCTTTGCCTATGTATTATTATCGGACAAAATTTTAACACCATTTTTTTGCCACATAAAACTCTACCAATATACCAAATTTCAGCAAAATCGCATATGCCGTTTTAAATTTATATGGGAAAAACGATTTAAAAATTGTAACTTCAAGGCCCTCTGGAGCCCAAACGAAGCAACTTTGTACTAAGGTAATTTTACTTAAATGGACTTATTTTGGTCTAAGGAATATGTGGTATGTTTTTGTAAAGACCTTTTACAGACACCCTGTATAATAAATAATATGAAATAGAAACAGAAATAAGTGGTTAACTTTTGTCTCTACGTTAGATTAAAGACAGTTGTGCTATATATTTGAACTTGTAATATACCAATAAATAACAAAACATTGTTCTCACAAAAAAAAACGTTTTGATATGACGTAAAACATACGTTAAAACATACAAATATTTTCAATTCAAATATTTTGTTGGTTGTAGAGAAAGTATAGTCTGCTGCTCGGTGGTGTACTGAAGAAAAAAATCATTACTCGTAACATTTCACTTATTTCTAAAATAAAAGCTACTAGCTCTCCATAATTTAAAACTAGTTCTATATTTTAAGGTTGCATAGACGGCAAAGTAAAACTACCCCACGGCAGGGTCCTAGGCGGTAGTTCCCTCATAGACTATATGCTGTACGCCAGGGGAAACCCAGCAGATTACGATAAGTGGCAACGGTTAGGTAACCCACGATGGTCGTACGAGAATGTGTTGCCATATTTCATGAAATCAGAAGACGCATATTTGAATATAAGCGATTCTGGATACCATCAACGGGGAGGAAGGTTATCCGTCAGTGACGTACCTTACAGATCAGAATCGGCGCATGCGTTCGTCAGAGCTGCACAAGAAGCTGGGTATCCTGAAGTGGATTATAATGGAAAACGCCAAATAGGGGTGAGTTGCGATTTAAAATGTTTTTTTTTTGACGCACCATAGAGACTTAGGATTAGTACATATGAACAAGAAGAAAGGCACATTTTTTATTACTGGGAAGTAAAACAAGAAAAAAAAATCGTCACTACACAAACAGCTATCAAAATACGATTGAAAATTATTGATTATCTCAACTATGACTGTATTCCGTCTGTAACGTGTGGAAAGTGGGTGACCCCTATGGAACTTAGGCTTCACTAGGCCCATTATCCATCCTCCTAAGATAATAGGCACCTCCTAGCTCGTGAACCAGTCTAGAGATTAATCGTAAATGACGTCTCTTATATCGGCCGGTGTTAGCCGATACTCGCCGAACACAAATCGTCTAATAAATGAAAGCGTCGATCAATCGTAGAGGATATGCTCGATGGTCTCATCTTCGTGTTCGTACCCTCTGCACCCTCTAACAGCCCCATGATATTGAGATGCTTCCGTACTTGGCAATGACCAGTTAGATTGCCTGTGACTAGGCGCAGATTCTGTCTAGTCATAGTCAAGTATTTGTTTGCTGCAGTGTTGTCAGGATAACTTAAAAGCTCCCTGATAACTCTGCAGTTTTTTGTTTTATCCCATCTTTGCTTCAATTTCACAAAGGAATGTTCTTTAATTAGGTCTGTCAATACCGATTTTGTCAGGTCAATAGAAGGGCCAGGTCCAAAAAGTATTTGATTGGTTGCCTTCTTGGCCAGTTAATCAGTGATGTTGCGTGACCTTTGATCCATCTTAAGGTAGCCACGTTGTTGATGGACACTTTCGTCAAAGCTCCGTGAAATTCTAGTACTAACCCTGAGTAAATTCGTTGTCTGTTCAAGGTGAGTAATGCTTGTCTGCTACCTGTATAGATGAGCATGTTCCTTCCAGTGATATTGTTTCTGGTGATTTCTTTTGCTGCTATGAGAATCCCCGTGAGCTCTGTTTGAACTACACTGGCACTATTACTAATAGCCCATTTTATGTTTAGGTTTAAGGATCTAGAGTATATTCTACATCCTGAGCCTTGCTTTGTTTTAGAACCGTCGGTGAAGATATGAATCGTACCTGCCCCTTCCGGCTCTTCTCTTTGTTCTTTAAGAATTTTAAATGGCTTATGGAAAATATATCTCGGTGAGTTGGAATTTTTTTGCAAAGGACAGTCCTTTTTTCAAGCAAAATGTCCATGTGACTTTTTAAAGCTTAAAATGTCCTTTTTTACGGCATATGTCTTGTTTTACTTTTTGATATCTTTGAAAGGGACCTGGCTTATACAAAAATATACAAGTTGAGCTTATTTTTTAGAAGCTCGTTAGAAAGACGAGGATTTTTTTCACTTTTTTACCTTTTTTGCCTTTTTTTGGCCTTTGTGACCTTTTGACTTTTTTAACTTTTTTGAATTTTTTTGACTTTTTTATACATTTTTTTGACTTTTTTTTGACTTTTTTTGACTTTTTTTGACTTTTTTTTTTACTTTTTTTGACTTTTTTTTGACTTTTTTTTGACTTTTTTTGTTTTTTTTTTACTTTTTTTACTTTTTTACTTTTGACTTTTTTGATTTTTTTGACATTTTGACTTTTTTACCTTTTTTTGAATTTTTTTGACTTTTTTATACGTTTTTTTGACTTTTTTTTACTTTTTTTACTTTTTTTGACTTTTTTTTATTTTTTACTTTTTTACTTTTGACTTTTTGATTGTTTTGACTTTTTGACTCTACTTTTTTGACGTTTTTGACATTTTTGACTTTTTTTGTTACACACTCATCGACCTTTTTTTTTAGGAGTTCAGTAGAAGGATGAGGACCTTTTGTATACCAGATCCCCTATTAGCATCATAGTATTTTATTCACTTTTCAAAAAGGTAGCAACCTTAGTTGAAGTCCATGTTGGCTTGAAGCAGAAGGAGCCTATCGAGCACCTTCTGCCAAAAGCCACGTCTCGCCTCACCAGATCCTATATCAGGTGCGGAGGCGTGTCATTTTCGTCAGTGCAACCTCCTAGATGTAAATATCAAGGGGAGTGGGACTAGGAATGACGTCCATGGCTCTAGTTGGTGTTCTTTAAATTTGTTCTAGTTTACGGATAGCTGTCAACTTTTAGGTTTTCGGTACCCAGACAACTGCCCCATATTTTAGCTTAGCATATGATAGCCGTGTAAGTCCATGCGACGATTCTGGTGGAGAAACCCCAGATGCGCCCCACGGTTCGGCGGCATTGTTCATAAAAGCAAAGTATGCTCTTTTGACTCTGTTATCTAAATGCGAGTTCTATGTTAACTTGCTGTCAAAGGTGAGACCTAGGTACTTCACCTCTGTTGCAAAGTTTAGTTTTTTGTTTAGGAGTTCTGGATGTTTTAATTCAATTTTCATCCTTTCCTTGTGAAAAGGACCATTTCTGTCTTCTTAGGATTGTTAGACAGTTGAATGGTCCTTGTACCACTGTTCTATAATTTTAAGAGCTACTTGCATTCTTTCACAGAGTATGTTCTCAAAATTCCCTGTTTGCAGAATGACCAAGAGTGTTTGCTACTTCTTATAATAGACCACTGTGCTCAGATAAAACAGAATTTATTAAAAGTTTATATTACTATTTATTGTTTCTACAAAATGTAATATAATTTTTTCAATTGTTGCTTTTTCAATAGTTAATCTATTTTTTGTTGTTGATTTATTTGTTAACCATAGTTAAACCTTTTTTGTTGTTATTGATTGTTGTTGTTTAGATTAATTATATAATAACAAGCACCTAGGTGAGAACACCTGTATGTGCTGACAAAAATAAAAAAAAACTTGAACAATTTATGCAAAAAACAGAAAAAAAAAAACTATTTAAAAAAAAATCTATGTATTAAGTCCGTTATTCTTGGAATATTCTGATAAACTTATTATTTTGGAAAATGTATATTTTGCTAACTTTACAGAATTTTTTATATTTGTTTAATAATTTTATATGAAGAGGTAGAGCGTTATAGAACTTTGTCCCTAGATAATTTATACTGTTTTCAAAAAACTTACTATTTGGTTTTGGTACTTTAATGCACATGTTCGATGCAGTTCTAGTGTTATGTCTTTGTTCTAAAGGGTTTTTAAAAATTCATTTTTTTGCATATAACAACACACTGCGTGAATATATAAACATCTAACATTGCTAATTTTTTCATTATATAAAGTTATGGTGGGACACAATCTATCTCTTTTATATATTAACTTCAAGATTTTGTTTTGAATAACATTTAACTGATTTACAGTTCATCAAATTTCTAGAGGTGTTCGACGCCCAGACAGAGAACGCGCTACGTGTGACTAAGATAGCTATTGTACAGTCTGCTAAACAAGTTATTTTAAATAGTTTTTAATATTTTTAGGTAATTAAATTTTAAAAGTGTGGAATAGTTTAGGGATTAAATTGGTCTGATTGGACTTTCTTAGAACGTTTTTAAAAGCAGCTAAAGATAGTATGTAGAATTGAAAATAATTATTATGCCATAAAAGGTGTTTTGGAATTCCTTCAACCTTTTGAAATTGAGTCAGAAAATATAAATTTTATAGGATAGCGGAAAATACCTAAAATTTTTTTGTAGGCCTTTGTAAATCGTGGAAATAGTTTATATTTTATTTCTACCTTATTAAGGAAAATGATTAATAACGGTTGTTTCTGAAACATTACTAAAATTTTCGAAATTTTGTTTTTCTACAAAGTAATAAACTATACTATTTAGAAAAAAATTTATTTCTCTTTTAATTTTATAAAAAATAACAGGGGAATATTTACATTTCTTGATCTATTAAACAAAACGATAAATTATCTAGACGAATGACACCATGTTCTAGTACGGAAGCTAGCTTTACATTTTTGTTGGTGGTTTCATGGGTTTCATATCAATTTTTTGTAATTGTAGTTTACACGTACATATAATAAAAATAATAATAATAATAATAATACTCTCCCTAATTCACCCCCTTACGAGTGAATTTCAACCCCTGAAATCGACTGAACGACTTGTGAAGGGGAAGGGACGGCTATTATTATTATTTGCCGTGGCGCTCCGGGGCGACTTAAAGATGATTGATGGTGCCATTTGACTTACAGGTGAGGAAAACCCGGAAAACCTCACCCACCATCATCGAGACGGTAATGTATGGCGAATTTTTTTAATCTGCATGTCATATCAACAGAAATTGAATTTCTATTCATACGCCACACATCAAATCCTAAACCGAACCATGCAATTTAATTAAAAATCCACATGGTCCGGTCTGGGATTCAAAACCCAGCAGTCTCAGACTCATAAACTTGCCTATAAATGAATATAAGCGCGATAGACCGCTACACCACCGTCCCGATATATACCTCTTAACACTTGTTTGCTTTATTAAAAAAGTGTGTTGTTGTGATTTACGTCGAAATAAGTCAAAAACAACTTGAAACCCTATATAAAATCAAAAAGGAGAAACGGAAAAAATTGAGCCTGTAAATGAACACAACTCAGAAACAAAAATAGCTATCTAATAATAAAAAAATAAAATTTGATTTTTGTGCAGCTTCATCTATATCATTAACTGTTTTTGGTTTTTTAATGGTTTTTCTTGGTGATGAAAATTCCGATATCTCACGGTTATCGATTCTTTTTTCTCTCCAGAAATGCGGACGACAGTGTTTTTAGATACTCCTGTGGCTGCAGCAACACGATCATTTACATTTTTAAATGGTATTGAAGGTGAATTAAAGTTTCCTTCTCTTCTCATAAACTCTATAACATTGGCTATTATTTCGCGAGATTGACTGTTAATCACGCGGCCTCTTAATTTGCTATTAAACTCCATACTTAGGTTCTATTAAACTGTAATGAGCAAAAAACACAAACGATAATAAAAGAAATGTTTTAGCGAAATTTACATCTGACATTTACGTCTGAATCATGGTGTAAGGATACAGGTGAAGCGGTGCGCAGGTTTTATGACGTCAACATCGGTATTGCCACGGCCGCCTATACACTGCCATGCCATTCCATGTTCCATGGCTTTGTTTACATTTTGTAATGATTGTATTGAGGATTGTCAAGAAGTTTAATTTTTATTTCCTAGTTCTATAATCATTATAAAACTGAAAATATATTTAGAAGAAAATAACAACTGCGTCAAATAACATCAAGTTATGCTCAATAATACAAGAAAAGTCACTGTAGGCAGAGAGACTCTTGTGCAAAAGTAATGCCAAATAAAAAAAATATTTTGTGCTTTTATACAAAAAAAGTAGGTAATTTATTTTGAATTTAGCCATGGTGTAAGGAATTTAGCCTAATATAGTTTCTCTTTGGCGTAAAAAAGATAGTGTTCATCTGAAACTGAATTTTTCCATCACAAAACTGAAGAGGATGTTACATCTAGGATTTAAATCTTCATACCTAGCATTGCTATCTGATAGATTGAGATCAAGATGATAGCCAAAACGTACCTAAACTTACAGAGACATTACCATTAAAAAGTTTTAGTGGCTCAGTAGGGATAAAAACTGGAACTAATAAAAGGCATATACAAATTACTAATTTAAATGTGAAACTGAAATATGCAGTGTCCCTTGTATTGTGTATAGTGGACAAATGTTTAACCTCTTGCCAATTAATTAATAATAGGAAGTTCTGACTCATTAAATATGTTTAAAAAGCAAGACACTCTTGCTCAAAAAGGTATACTACAAAGTGGATAAATTTTTCTATGATTCCTTGAATTAAGTAGTTCATTTTAATTTATGTGCATACTCCTGTATATATATTTCTCGATTGTCATATTTGTACTTAGGTTGTGCATTTTTGTTTTTATATTATATTTTGTCTTGATATTAGAATTTAAAAAATTTTAAAATAAAAAATTTCATTTATGAATATTTTGTTTGTTTCTTTTCCTTTGAATTTTAACTTATGTTATCTATCTTTGTTAATAAGAATGTAATTAATTCTTCAACAATAAATAATTTTGAATCGATTCAAATAAACTTGGGTATAATGTTAACGAATGCTGAACAATAAAATTAAGGTGAAATGAATATATTTTTTTAGTCGCCAATTTTCTTAAATATTCAGTTTGAAAGTATGTAGTCACTTTTATAGATTATAAATGTAAAAATTTAATTTTAAATTAGTCATCAAACATGGCCATCAATAACTTGTATGCACAGATCAATTACTTTCTTGTATGGTTGGGTGCTGGTAAACCCCTTTATGTATTTAATAAATAGAAACACTTGGAAAAACATACTTTATTTTAATAAAAAGCACAGGTGTTATTTTAAATTGATTTAGGTTTAAAAATGGTTTATACATAATGTTTACTTCTTTATCTTGCTTAACACTTTATAATGTATATTTCTTGTTCTAAATTTAAACATTTAGCCCAGTCTCTTAAGGTAGTAAACCCAGGTAAAGGATAATGAACAGTTTTTAAAATCTATAAGCCTTAGGACGAATGCTTCTTAGTGAGATTGTGGATGCTATGTCATCCGAACTTCAACGAATTCTTTTTTTATTTTCATTGTATAAAACATTTATTTGACCCGGAGTGAAACATTTACTTTACTTTCCTGAATTTCCACTTGAGCATTATTTTTCAACTGGTTAATTTCTTCTTTCAATGAAAGTATTTCTATATTTGATTTGTTGCATTTTTCAGTAATTTTGTTTAGTTCTTCATGAAGACTCTTAATAGTTTTCTCTAAAATAATAATTTCATTTCGGTGGTCACATCTGAAACAATAACATACAGTTAATATTGAAATAAAAGCAATTATCACTTCAAAGTTTAATATTTAATAAAAAAATTGTTTTGAAATGATTGTAATGTTAATTAGTACATGCTAAGTTGTGTAATTTTCTTTTCAAAGCCACATTTTTTGTTAATAAGGTAAATTTGTACATACGTTTCTAGTTCTGATGATACCAATATATTTTGAGTGTCTGTTTCCAAACATTGATTCTCCTTGTCCTGGTCTGCAGTTGACAATTGTCTGGAATGCCCCGAAATATTAACAAAGCTCTCAATAAATGTTTGTCGATATCTTTTTGCCTGCCTTCTAGATTTTTAAGTTTCTGCCAGTCTTAGTGGAGTAGTTTAATAGCCTCTGTTGTAAGGGTATTTCAAAACTATCCTTCGAAAAATGTATGGAACATATACAAGCTTAAAAAAGAAACAAGACATAAAATAAATCATATTCAAATTAGGTTTGCAAAAATCATACCATTTTTCAAATTAATTGTATCTTTTCACCCGCAACCGTTGACCCAGGCTTTGGCTATATCTGTTTTCGGAAATCCAAAATACTGAATATTTGTTCCCTTTGTTTTTCTTGAATAGTTCTTGCTGCCAAACACTGCACAACCTGGCATTTTGTTGGTAACTACGCACCCTAAAATATAGTAGATTTTAATGTACCAATAATATAATAATAATAATGATATATTAAAATAACAATAATGAATAGAAACTATTTTTTTTATCTTTAAAATACAACAAAAATGTTACATAACCTAACTTTATATCAATTACACTACCAACTTAATTAGAAATTAATTTAATAATACCTACCAATAATTTCTAAACAGGCCTATTGATATATAGAAATGATATTAAATATTAAGATAAATATATCTATAAACTTCTAAACACTACCAGGAAAATATTAGAATAACTTTAAAAGTCGCTTTTTAACATTGGAGACATAGGCAAAACAAAAATATGCTCCGCAGGTGACGTCATGCGCAAGAATGACCAAATTTCGTACCGCTTACCGCTTCACCTGTATTCTTCCACCATGGTCTGAATGAAATAGTGAAATACTTGATGCGCAGAGTGTACTTTCATTGCGTAAATCCGTCGGGATGCCTGTCAGTAGTGCTTTCTCTGTCTAGCCGTCGAAAGCCTCTAGAAATTTGATGAACTGTAATGTAGTTCCATACAAGCCTCCCCATACTAAGATTCCAAACCGTAGTATACATTCTACTAGATTCTACTATAATAATTTTTGGATGTTTAACTTTTCGTTCATTGTCTTCTTTTTGTAACTTCACCATATCAGCATAAGAAATGGTAGGTACAATATTTATCTCTTTTTCTTCAAATTCTTTAATTTTTCTTGACGCATTTTTATTATTTCATTTGTACTATTTATTATTTCATCTTTACTTCTTATTATTTCATCCTTATCTTCATTAGTCTTCTTTAGAAAATCAGTCACTTCATAATTCCTACATTTTGTAAAATGAAATTTCAGAATTCTAGCGTGTAGTGGTATACACCTAATTTCTGTAGTTGATAATTCAGAAAATTGGTTGCAGTATAATCTTCTGTATCCATCACATGTAGAGCATGGATATTTTTGTTCTTTTGTAGGCTGATGAATAACCTCACACTGTGAGCATTTCATTGCCATTTTTCTTATTAAATCATTTTCTTATTTTATAAACTAAATGTGGGTACGCCACTGGATATTCTATTTGCATACTGTGAATAGTTTTATTTTTACAGCGCCATGTTGCAATTTAAATCGTATATCTGAAAATTGCAAGGTGGGAGAAAATGTTGCGAATCAGTTGTAGTTTTCGTTATACCCTGTATTATTGTTTTTTAGTAGTTAGCAAAAACAAAAAAAATATTATGACTTTATTGATTACGACTTTTACAAAAAATTAGATTGTTATTAAAGAAATATTGTCCTAAAAAGATTTTTAGTCCTTTTATTGAAGCTTTTTCCACATTTGTGGCGACTAGGTTATATTAGGTTACGACTTAGTTTGTTTATATCTTTTGTACTGTATTGTTCATATTAATGACTGAATCTTAAAATTTAGGATATTTCTCTTTCAGACTTCCTACATCCAATCCACCACGAGACAAGGAAAACGAGTAAGCGCAGAAAAGGCATTTCTTCGTTCGATCCGCAACAGACCTAATCTCAAAATCCTCAAAAATTCTCGAGCAGTACAAATTTTAATCAATCCAGAGACCAAACAAGCTTACGGCATCCGGTACATCAGAAATAAACAGTATCACGAGGCATTGATAAAGAGAGAATTGATTTTGAGTGCCGGTCCGTTTAGTAGCCCGCAGTTACTGATGCTGTCTGGCATAGGGCCAAAACGCCATTTGGAGAATTTAGGTTAGTGTTTAGTTATTCAAATAAAATTGAGTTTCTCTAGCAGCGTTTGTCAAACGATGGAAAGAGCTATAAAGCGAAATTACAAAGGAAATATTGCGAAAGCGCCAACGCTGGCGATGCGAGTTCCTTCTCATATGCACGATTCAGCATCTTCTGAGACTTTCCGCCATTGAGCTCGAACGAACGAGAATAAGTTGACCCTTTTGTAAAACATTTATTTTATTTTTATTTTTAATACAATACTCTACAGGTCGTAAACCCAATTACAGAGCAGGAATTGACAGAATATAATTATTAATATATCATAGATTTTTTATATGAATGATAAGCACATAAAAAGAACTTGTATTTCGTAATAGGTAACAAATTAACAAAGATAAAAAGTAGGATTTTATATTTGACAAATTGCAACTGCATTTGTAGTAATTCAGAGTGAGGTTTACCTATTACAGGATAAATGCCATCAGTTTTCAGGCTTAGCAGTTTTAAAAATCGTCTTTGAATTGCTTTTGTTTGATCTATATGATACTGATAAAAGGGGCTCCACACAACTTGAGCATATTCTAACTTTGATCTTATAAAAGCATAAAATAGAGTTTTAAGGTAAAGGTTTCTTTAAAATCACTACTGCTACGTGCAATTAATCTGTACATGCGATAGGAGGAGGATACAGCATTATTAAATAATAGCGCACTATCAGACGTGACTCCAAGATCAGTAAATGTTTTCGGTCGCTCAAGGACAACGTTTTCCATTGAATAATTAAATATTAGGATATTCGTTTTTAAACTGTAGGACATACCTTTACATTTATTCGGGTTTAGTGACAAGCTATTTTGAAAACACCATTCAACAACCTGTGTTAAGTTTGCCGAGAGGTTCTCGCAATCACCTATCTTCTCCACGAGGAAGTATAGTTTTAGATCATCGGCATACAAAAGGAAATTTACATTTATAACATCTGGAATATCATTAATGAACATAATAAAAAGGAGGGGTCCCAGAATCGACCCTTATGGAACACCGGAAGAAGCACTATATTCAGCAGACCTAAAACCATTGAGCTGCACATATTACTTTCGATCCGATAGATAGGATTAAAACAATGAAATTAAAGAGGGAGATAATCCAAAAGCTACAAGTTTGTTGAGCAGAATGCCATGATCAAGTCTGTAAAAGGCCTTAGAAAAGTATGTGTAAATAACATCAGTTTGGGCTCTGTTGTTCAGCAATATATTGGGCAACGGTCAGAAGGTTGGCGACTGTTGAACGACTTTTCACGAAACCATGTTGATTTATACTTATATTATAACTCGCTCTAGCAGGATTTCAAAACCTTTGCAAAGTGGCATATAATAGTGATTTAATTTAAAATATCTCGTCTATCTCATTTCTTAAAAATGGGACAGACCTTTGAGGATTTCCAGATCCCTGGTATTGTAGCCGCTATTAAACAAATATTAATTAGTATGGAGAGAAGAACAATCTTTTAGGACAAAAGCTGAAATATCGTCTGATCCGGTGGTCTTTTTTTGGCTTATTGATCTTATTGCTTCATATACTTCATTTTCACTGAAGCTTATAATATTTAAAAAGTGATTATTATTATTATTATTATTATTATTATTATTATTATTATTATTATTATTATTATTATTATTATTATTATTATTATTATTATTATTATTATTATTTGTCGCAGAAATGGGTTGAAAAGGGGAAGAAATAGTATAGAATTATTTAAAAAGATTTGCAAAACCGTTTAGAATATTTGACCTTCAAAATTCAATACTTGTGATATTTTGGAACTACCTCGTTTATTATTTATTGTTTCGGCCTTTACTTGATGAAAATCCATTTAATTTTGAAAGAGTAAAACCAAATTTGGTAGATTTTCACACTTTTATTTTAAAAATAAAAATTTTTTTTTAAAATAAAAATTTTTAAACAAACACTAACATGACATATGTTTCGAAGTACAACTTCTTTTTCAAAAAGAAAAAGAAGTTGTACTTCGAAACATATGTCATGTTAGTGTTTGTTTAAAAATTTTTATTTAAAAAAAAAAAAAAAAAAAAAATTTTATTTTTAAAATAAAAGTGTGAAAATCTACCAAATTTGGTTTTACTCTTTCAAAACCTCGTTTATTATTTATAAATGCTCAAAATCTGTTGGGGTTGTTATGTTCCTCAGTTTTGCCTAACTTGTATGCAACATCAACATCATGCTTTATTTTTGCCCGAAGGTGTTTAAACTCCTTAAAGGCCTGTAAATTATGGGATAACGGGATCTTTGCCTCTTTAATACCCGTAAGGAGGTCTGAGTAGTCTATTTGTTGTTCTACAAACAGTATGGTTTAGTTTGCCGTGTACTTGACTATGTCGGGTCCTGAAATAATGTTTTCAGGTCCCTTTTTAGGTTAGCATGGATGTATGTGGTACCTTCAACTACAATAGGTTGCAATGCCGATTTCTTTGTCGCTTTCGGAGTGTTTGCGGTTGTGTTGGCGGGTTTAGCTTTGGGTTTCGGTGGTGGGTTGTTTTTGTTGGTTCCTCCTTGTGTCTCAGAGGGACCCTTAGGTTCGTCTTCCGTCTCGGATTCCGTTTTCGATAGGACTTCGTATTGGTTTTTCAGATTCAGAGATCTGACTGCCTTTTATCTTAGGACTTTGACGAAATTTGTCGAGAACTTTCTCAAAGTTTGGAATTTCTCTGTATTTGTGTCCGTGTCCATAGCAACGTTTATTTCGTCCAGGTTATCGAGTGGAATTTCGTGAGTCCTTTTTCATTTGGGGATTGGAGATTTTGGCAACGTGTATTGTGGTCTCTGAGATAGTAACAGCTGGTGAATGTCTGCGTTAACGTGTATCAACGTCGGGGGTGGAGGCGGGAATGTTGGTGCATCGCATTGGTGGGATGACTCCTCCCCTGATGAGTTCTCATTCTGATCGAAATCGAGAATCGTAGGTTTAACGTGACTGGGCATTGGCAGCGTTTTGTATGCTTAAATGTTCTACAAACTTTTTTACTCTTTTTAAAGTTGAGTTATTTTTGATGGTGTCCGGGGTGTGTCTATGTCTGAATCCTGTTCGTCGATGTGTAATTCGGATGAAACATCTGATTCTGGGCTGCTGGGATCGCTGTTTGAGCCTTCAAGCGTGTTAGTGAGATTCTACGGTGCCTTGGCTCTCCGTTGCCGGCCGTTTTGAGTTGGTGTCTTTCTCCAAACTTTTTTTAGTAAAATTTTCGGTCAGGGGACCTCTTCTGAAGGTGGTATATAACCCCGGGTTAGGAGAGTTAGTGGTAATTCTGGAGGTACTCACAGTTTTGTAGGGTTGAATGTGCTTGGCTTTGAAGAGTTTCGGGCTGTATATTGGGGGTTACACTCCGAGATTGTTTTACACTTTACCTGGCGATACGATTATGTTCGGACAATAATATATGTTTGAAAAAGTTCAAAAAGTGAGGTTACGTTACCACGATAGAAACTAAATACGTAGGTCTGGGTAGCTGCAGCCAAGGCGAGTCCTAGGTTTACTCAATACTGTTCCCTGATTATTTCAACGACAATTCTGTTTTTATAGATTAGTTTTTCAGGGAACATAGACAAAATTAAAATCAGACAAAAACTCTCAATATTTTTCAATTATTGACTTGTTAGCAACCCTAATTAACTTATTGTGCTGCATAGCAGCAAGGAGATGTTACTATCAACCATAATAATGACAAATAGTAATTGAACATACTACCATGATATCGGTCCTGGCCCTCCTAGGGGTCAACATAAGGAACACTTCCGGGACGCTGACCGCGAAGAAATCCTGTAGTATTATTTGAAAAATTTGTATATAAAATGTAAATAAATGACTTTGTAACTAAACTAACTGTTCCCTGATTGAAGGATTCACTCAATCAATCAGGAGTCGAGTTCTCACATATACTCCACAGACTACCGCAACCAACCCACACACAAACAAGGACAACCCTGTTTTTTTCGTGCTTTTTCAGGGAAACAAACGCATAACTAAGATAACACAAAACTAAATACAATGATAAATTATTGTCTTTTGACAAACTGAATCAAAAGTGTTGTATAATATCTATTTAGGATAAGAAGATAAAATGTAATTGTCATAATATTAAACATAAACAGCGGCAGCGTTGCGGTGAGCTATCTGTCGCTGACGCCATCAAGCTAGAATCGGCTAGAACCGACCAGCCGGACCAGCGCGTTAGTGTTCGAGAACGATCAGGATTGCTTTGAACGGAATAAATACGCACGGCGCGGCGACATTGCGCTTAGTTTAAAACTGAACACGTAACCAACGTCCAGCGGTTGGGTTAGTAGAGAACAACAAAAAATAATATTATGGCAAGCAGTTGTAAGAGGTAAAGACATACCACTTTCATTCGGAATGGGAAGAACAATACTTTTTTACAGAAATTAAAGATGAAAATGTGTGTTTGTTATGTAATACTTCGGTCTCCGTTGCTAAAAAAGGAAATATTGAGAGACATCATAAAACTGTACATTCTAATTTTGAAAAATCATTCCCACTACATTCTGCCGCCTGAAAGGAGAAACTGAAACAGTTAAAAAAGCAGTTAATTGGACAACAATCAATATTTTTAAGAACAGTCGACAAAAATAAGGCTGCAACTGAAGCATCGTACCGTGTGTCCCAGATAATTGCACAAAAAAAGAAACCTTATGTAGACGAGGAAATGATAAAACAGGCGTTTTTAGAAGCTGCTGATTCGTTATTTGCCAACTTTAGAAATAAAGACGAGATAGTTTCAGCTATAAAATCTATGCAACTTTCTGCTAATACAGTGATGAGACGTGTAGAAGTAATGAGCAATTATATTTTTTTACAGTTAAGAACTGACTTAGATAACTGTGTTTATTTTTCACTTCAACTGGATGAATCAACAGATGTCGTTGACACTGCCCAGATGGCTGTGTTCGTCAGGATGGTTTTTAGTGATTTTACGATTAAAGAAGATCTTTTGAAGTTTATTCCACTGAAAGGACACACTACTGGACAGGAGTTGTATTCTCATTTAAAAAATATTATTTCTTCCGAGAAAATTCCAATATCGAAAATGGTAAGCTTGACAACTGATGGCGCTCCAGCTATAGTGGGTTGTGATAAGGGTCTGGTGGCATTATGTCGTAAAGATGAAACTTTTCCGCAATTTCTCTGTTACCACTGCATTATCCATCAGCAAGCATTATGTGGAAATTTCCTGAAACTAAACAAAGTTATGAAACTGGTGGTAAAAATTGTGAACAAGATTAGAGCTCAAGCGTTACAAAGAAGATTATTCAAAACCTTGGCCGATGAAGTTGACTGTCAATACGGGGACCTACTCCTTCACTCTGAGGTCCGATGGTTAAGTAGAGGACGGGTGCTGAAACGTTTTAATGATTTCCTATCTGGCATAGTTCAATTTTTCAAACAACGCGATGAACCGACTCCTGAACTAGAAAATTCAATCTGGCTTAGAGATTTTGGTTTTCTCGTGGACATTACAGATAAATTAAACGAACTTAATTTGCAGCTTCAGGGGAGAGACAAAGAACTAGCGGAAATGATTTCTGATATAAAAGCATTTATCAAAAAGCTGGAGTTTTGGGAACAAAACCTAATTAACAACGATGCCAAGCATTTTCCTATTCTTTCAGAAAAAATATCTCAAAATCCATTAGAACCCTATGACAGCAAATATCATGTAGAAATAGTTTCGACCCTGAAGAATAACTTCAAAAATCGTTTTAAGGATTTCAACGAAATGGCTTTAGTAGCGCAGTTTGTTGTTTCACCCTTTATGGAAACTGATATCCAACAGTTTGCAACTTGTGTTATGCAAAACTTTGGCGAAGACATCGCTGCAACAGAAATGGAAGTAATTGAGTTTCAAAATGATTTAGCCTTAAAATCGTTAGTCTCAAGTACCAAATGTATCTGGCCTTTTGTAAGTAAAGACAAATATTCAGTTCTATCCCGTGTTGCCTTGAAAGTGAAAGCATTATTCAGTTCAACCTATTTGTGTGAATCTTCTTTTTCCAATATGAAGTTTATTAAGAACAATTATCGCAATCGACTTACAGATGAACATTTGGATACTGCAAACATTAAAAAAATTATCGATGAGTCTGAGTGTCAGCCTTTTCATTGAACGTGCTTTTTTATTTTTCAATGTTTATGTTCATGATAGTGCGTTACTTTTTTGTTGTTATTATTAACTATTTTTAAATCTTACGTGACATGCCGTTGTGGCTGGATAAAAGTTTGTGTTTATTTTTCAAACACCTTCGTTTGGTAGGTAGGAATGTAGCTATGAACAAGTACGTACTAGTAATATTAGTTATTTTGTTATTAGTTTATTATTAGTGCCTATGTATTATGTATTACCAGTTAAATAGTAAAATAAATACATATAATGATAAATTAACTGTGGATTATTTCATTTACGTTGCGTTACGTGGCTTCCGTGTGGGTAGCTCGCTGTTTATTCCAAAATTAACAAAGTAGCTCAACACATTGAGAGGTTGGCAACCACTGATCTAGTGACTGAGCATGACAGCTCTGGGCATTACGCTCTAATGAAATAATGAACGACTTCGAGCATGAATGAAATGTAAATAATGATTAAAAACTGAATAAAGACGTATTTAATAATAATAAAGAATACCGACTTGACGCGAAGTGAGAATTCGAGTGGGACCAAGAGGAAGATAGATGGAGAGAGAAATGTGAAAAAGGGTTTTTGGTTCGGTGGTTTTAATTTTAAATTATTAAAATTTAAGTGCTTAGAGTTCCCTGTTTTTACAATTTTTATATCTAGGGAAGTTCTGGCTAAAATACTTTACATATTTTAATTTTTATTCAGGTGTTCCATTAGTATATGATTTGCCAGTGGGAAAGAAACTCTACGATCATTTGCTATTTCCGGGACTAAATTTTTTATTGAATGAAAGTATAGTTCTCAATCAAGAAAAAGAAACAGGAAAATTGGACAATTACATCGATATCAGAGAAGGAAAAGGAGCATTCACTACACTTATTGGTAAGTATTATTTATTGTAGTTAAATATATTTAAAAATTATCAAATCAAAATTAAAAATTTCAAAATCAATTAACTTTTCAAGTAAAATATTTTCCGAATCAGAAGATATTACACTAAAAAGAAGACACAATGAACATGATACTCATGTATGTATGATGCAACTTTACCACAGCAATGCTTTCCTCTAAAATTAATTGGTAGAGATTCAGACGCACTAAATTTATAGGCCTCTGATTATGCTCTATCCCGACTATTAAAAAAATCCAAAATTAATAGCACACAAATGAATATTGCAGCAAAATTTGGAAAAAGGGTTTTGATCGATCTATTCCTCTTTAAAAAGATGTGTAGTATCCAAGAATGTAACTAGAATGAAGACATAATGCTTGGCATTCTATATTATACTCTTCGCAGTTTAACAGACCCCCATCTTCAATCAAATTTTTGTCAGAATCAATAGGCTTCATTACCTTGTAAATCTTGATTTTTGATTTTTAATATTATATCGATTTTTATACTTGATTTATTATCTTTAAATTTTAACCCCCTCTTAAACCCCTCATTTTTAATAAGAGGGCTTTCTCTTTTTTTTGCTAAAAATTTCATGCAGATATCGCTTTTGGTGTTTATTTCTATTTTTCGCTACTGATAAAATATTTCAACCCCTCTCAATCCCCCATTTAATTTCAGATTTTTTCAGAATTAATAGACTTCATCTTCTTATTGAGCTTGATTTTTACTAAAAATATTTCATGTTGATATCTATATAATCCATATCTTGAAAATCGTTTTTCTTTGATTCCAGTGACATTGAGAACGGGCATTAAAGATTTAGCATAGGCTCCAAGCACTGCTTCGGTTACTGGTTTTACTGTAGAATGTTTTGTTTGGTCTTAATCATGCAATCTTCTGAGAGTTGGATCACTCCGGCGATGTTGAGTAGAACGTCATCTCTGACTCCGTTGCAAATTACGGCCACTTTTGTTGATATGGCAGTGAGGAATAACCATGTGTTGGGCATGTGTAATTGTTGCCATACTATCGATTCTACTGCAAATTGCTTAATGCCGCAGTAGGTTCTTTCTGGTTTTTCGTTAATCTCGTCAATGACACAATACCACAGATGGGGAACATATTTACTGGTGTTTTAGGAGAACCCGACAGTGATCAATTTATTTCTGGGTATATCAAATATGCAGAATGATCAATTCGCTCTTGGGTTGGGTTGGTGTTACTCGAACGATATCAAATTCTGTTACATCTATAATCACGAAAGAGCTGAAGACTTGCATGATTTGTTCTGTATATTCTATCTCCGTTTTAATAGTTGGAAATGGTGATAATTTCAAATGTCCTGGCAGCTTTTTATTTGCATTATCAATCGCTTCTCGGAGAAGGGTAGGTGAGATGAGGTTGTAAAGTGTACCTCCATTATACTCTATACGTAGTAGTCGTGAGTAATACTTAATTAATTTATCTAGGAAGTTAGTGGGTACTTAATATGCACTTCGAATGTTGATATTTAGTTTGTTCACGTCAGTAGTCTTATAGAGTACGATTCAACTTAGAAAAAGCCACGGGCGTCATCAACTAGTCATCGTCTGCCTCACTTTAAAATATTCCTTCTCTGTTGCTCCAGATCGATATACCAGTGGCGTAGGCTCTTATTTAAATAAGAATTAAAGCAGTTTCCCAACAAAAAACATTTATTGGATTAAAAAGTTAAATTTTAATGATTTAAACATTTGTATTTTACCTAAATAACTAAACTAAAATAACATTACATATATTTTTCGACTTTAGACTTGCAAAACATTCAGTGGGAAGTAAATAAAAATAGCAACACAATTTTGTAATTTAAGATTTTTATTACAATTAAAATAATAGTTATTTATGCAACTAGTGCAAAAAGTGAAACTAGAGGAGTACATCCTAGTTCGTCCGTTAATGAACTATTATACTCTGTTTTTAAACTGAGGAGCGATTTGAATTTAAGTTGGCAATTCTGTAGCCTTCTGATTGGTCAGATTATAGTCAGTTTCACACATTACTTTTTAGCATGAACATCAGCTAATAATTGATATTGTTGACAGTTCTGACATTTAATATTTGATATCTCATCCATTACTTAGTTTTTTACTTTATTTGATAAATAATAGTTATTCAGTAAGCAATTGAATTGAAAATCTACAATTATGGATCCTTCTACACTGAGTACTATTAAAGGTAGCAATTCCTGAAAAGCCTTACAAGAAAGGGATTTTTCATGCTGATTCTGAAGGTTTTGTAGAAAATGCATTATTGGTTTTTGAAGGTAAAAAGATGGGAGGTTACCATGAAGAGATGAATTCCGAAGTATTTTAGAAAAAAATAATTTTATTACTGATTTTTTAAAATTAAAAATTGATGAATTTCTAACCAAAATGATTAAAATGTAACTAAATATTCAAGCAAATTTTATTTATTAGAATAGAAAAAAACTATTTACAAAATTGTTATAACATTTAAAACACCATCTACTACTTTAGGGACAATCTTAATTTGGCACAATGAGTTAACATTACTTTCACAAAAAATATTTTAAAAATACTTAAAATTAATTCATAGGTACGTATGAATAGTTCACTTTAAAAAATATATGTTGACATGTAGTGTTATGAAAATGTTGGTTCCAGTTTTCAAAACAAATTCTGACTCATAGGCCTGTAAACTTTTGAATGCCCTCTAGCGCATTAACCATGGGTTAACACTAAATAAGCCATAATATTCACATTACTCATAGAAGAGATACCAGTTACTGTGTGATCCACTTGTCATTCACTGATTAACTTTTACTTTTTATACCTATAACAAATATATTTTATACTAACCTAGCTACATCTGGATATTCCATTAACAATTTTCTTAAATATATAATATCCATTTTAAAAAGATCATAGTTATTCCCAAAAAGTCGATTTCAAAAGCAAGAAAAAAGTATTTCTGACATCAATCAACAACCATATTGACTTTAATTTGACAGTGACATTTCGTTTTAGACACACTTTTCAGATCACAATAATGTGAAATTTGCGACCATTGTCTGGGACCAATTAAAAAATTACTTCTATGACATTTATTCGTTTCTTAACCGCTCATTGGCCGTTCACCGACTAAGGCCGATAAAAATAATTATTTCATAAATTTTGAACACGACTATATTTCGAAACTCGCTCTTAGTAACAAATCTAGTTACTTTTCCCTGTGTAAATGCGTCTTTTCAATTCGCTCCTTCTAGTTTAAAATCAGAGTATGGTACTCTCGCTGTCTTCACTTTCTTCCGATGAACCCGTATTTTTGTTCGTAAGTAAAAGCTTGGCAACGCCGAAGTTTGGCTCACAATAATAAGGGATCCATGTTTACGCGATAGCTTCTGTTCGAATTATATTCTGGACCATGCGGCAGCCAAATTATTAAGCAATTGTATCTCTATATTAGAAAAACGAAAAAAATCGCCAAAACGCCACTGACGCTTAAATGGGATGGACCTGAGAGAGAGGCAAATTATTGCGGCCTTTGTCAGGTTATGATGTGTGTGGCTTTTTCTTAGTTGAATCGTACTCTACCACTGCCTCATTTCATTTATGGAGTCTAGTCCTTGATTCACCTTCTCTCTAAAGCGGTTTAGTTGGTTTTGAATTCTGACTTCCGTCTCATTGATGTGGGATAACGTCGAAATCATTATTTTAGTTTCATGATTTGAGATTTTTATAAGTTCATCTTGATTCTTTTGTAGCGTTTTAATATCTTGGTAAACTCCAAAGACTGATGTTAGAATATTGCCCAAAAGACCTCTTTTGGAACGTTTTGAGTTAGACGTTTCGGCTGCAATTTTTGTTCTTTCCGATGGTGCAATAACGTGTAGCAATGAGTCTCATCGGAAAGTAATTCTGTATGTAGACAAAGTGAATCAATGCCAATGTTGGTCATTGCATTTATACATTACATTGTAACATCATGAAGTTTTTTGGGTTTATCAGATGCTTCAATATGACTTACTGGCAAATCCAATATTTTATCAACCAATGTTGCTACTAGTTTTCTTTTATTTTGATAACGTTTTGCTAGCTTATCCTCGAACATTCGTTTTTAAATAATGCATTTTTTCAGTGGTTGTGAGGCAACTGCTTTCATGAATAACTTTTTTGAAAATGTCATAAAATTGATGTTCGGTATACTTTTATCATATTGATTTGGATTCCCATTATTTGCAATTTTTTCAATATTCTTCATTAGTTCCTCTATATCTTCCTCCATTTTAGTGAATATCTCTTCTATAAAATATCTGTCTTGGAAAGTTGTTTCAACAGCCATAATCTCCTCATTTTTTTTTTTAATTTTGACCCCCCTTAATCCCCACATTTTTAATCAGATTTTTGCTAAAACTTTCAAGTTGATTTATTTTTTTTGTTTTTGAGTTATGGATTTTTAAATGTTTCAAATCCCATTAACACCCATTTTTATTTAGATTTTTCTTAAAATCAATAGGCTTCGTTTTCTTACAAAGCTTTATTTTTGCTAAAAATTTCAAGTAATTTTTTTTGTTTTTCCTCAATAGAAGTGAAACTCAAAAAAAGGACTACCCTGATATACAGATATATTATATTTTGAAACGCATACAAATCGAACGAAATTAAATCAAATGGAGGCAATAAAATTAAAGGAATGCAGATATTATTCATATTTCTGCCTCTGCCTGATGATGCTCCAACTAGGAATAAACCAGTAGTTAAATGATTAAAATGTAAACTCAAAGGATTATATTCCATATCACTGTATTTTCTTTCACTCTGTATTATAATTTCACTAACCTTAGCTACTAAGGGAAAACCATTTTGACAAATTGTTATTCATTGTTATCGTTTGCTTTTGAATTATTATAAATTGTATGTAAAACCTAATGATAAATTAAAATTATATAATTAGCTTTTTAATTATAATATTATGCAACATAAACAAA